GCTATCACTCCTTTTTTGGCCTGCAAATCAAACGGTAAAGGTACCCCTTTCAAGTAATGACTCATTCTATCAGGAGATTTCTTTCTGGCCTTTTGTAGCGGAGGGGTTTAATCACTGGGTCAGGTCCGGTGACCACAGAGGCGCTGACAGGTAAGAGATCTCAGACCCTGCAGAGCCCACTATAGAGAGAGGTTTCAGTACTTTCAGTCACTGTTTGCAGACTTTCCTGTTCTGCACACTTATACCAGGTCAGTGATTCAAAATTTTTGTGGAATGCCATTGTAGATCATACTTGTGAGTAGATCTTACAAACCTATTTTTCATTTATTTTTCTCCAAAACCCTCCTCTATTTTACCTTTATGCCTTTCTTTCTTTTTTCTGTTCTTCTTTCCCTGTCCACAACCCCTCCCTTTTCTCTTTTATACTTACTGCTTGTACTGCTATTAATACTTTCAGCACTAGTTATATCCACACAGATGCTGTATTCTGTTCATTATATTTTTATTCTCTCTATGAACTGAAAATCAATAAAAAGAGATTGTACAAAGAATAATGCGCGCCACTGCATTATAGCACCAGAAGTTGTTGACATCATTATTGTTCCCTTAGCTTACTACAGTAAAATGCTGTAGCTCCTCTGAATATCTTTTGCGCTGGAGGGAGCTGTGTTTGTTGTCTGTGGAACCGCAGGAACTTGTTTTGAAATACAGACAGATAAGTCCTTTTCTCTCAGATTGGTCTTTTGAGGGCAGTCGGCTTTGTAATGCAATCCAGCTTAAAGGTAGGGCAAGAAAAGAAAGACATCGCTATTTTTAAAATAAAAGTTTTTTTATTTTTATTTGCAGAAATTGCTTGCAGTTTATTTTCAGAACCCTTCTCTATTCACCATCTGGTGTTTGATGTAATATTAAAAGCTCAACTCCACCTTTTTTCTGCAACAAAAAAAAAAAATCAAATCCCCTGGGCTACCTAAAATTAAAACGTAGCTCTTGCTGCAATGCTGAGGGGGTTCCTAGAGTTGGGCTTCGAAAGTCCACTCTAGTCAGAATTCGAAAATAAATGCTTGAGATGCATACAAGGAGCAGTACTTTTATTCAGAGATAGGCATACTGCATCAGGCCAATCCTTTTGTTGCCAATCTGATGATCTTGAAATGTGCCTTTACAACATGCTGGGAAGCCCCCTGCAGGCTCCCTGCTGCCTATCACATACAGGATCTTGTAATAACATTTCCTCTGTAAAATTGTTTAATGCAATCAACCAGGTAATGCCAGAAGAGGCTAAATGCAGTATGTTTCAGTTGGGTTATCTCAGCAGGAAGTTAACTGTGTGTGGCCTAGTATTGGCCCATAATAAAACTGATGGAAAACTGCAATAGCATCACATAAACATAACTATCTAATTATTATCTTTCATTCTATGTGAAACATATATAAGGGCTCATGCAGGCGTATTGCAGAACAAATACAGGTACATTTTCATACAGCATACAATACACGTGTATTTGCAGTGCCAGGGAGACGGAGCTGCTGCTGTTGTTTTTTGTCCATAGCAATATCGTATTGACTGAAAACCCTGCTCCCAGGTGTACACCTGCGAACATTGGCACTGGAATTTGCTCTGCACTACACCCATGTGCATGAGCCCTGACAGTATAACTTTCTTCAGGGGCTTAGCCAACAATGCAAACTGTGTTTCTTAATAGTCTTATTAAATGAATATCAAGTCTGGTTATAGATACACCAACACTTCATCAAACATCTCCCCTGGAGGAATCATGATGATTTAAGCAATCCAGCCTCTAGTGACTATGAGGAGCAAATGGACATATGAGCAATAGCCAAACTGTGGCCATTTCAAGCACAGAAGGGAATGTATACAGAGGTAAAGCATAGTGCAGTGGTGGCTAACCTATGGCACGCGTGCCACAGAGGACATGCAGAGGCCCCTCTGGTGGCACACGAGCCTAGGCAGGGGCGTCAAAATCATATCGCCCGCTCAGGATATGTAGTTCCGGGCGACAGGCGGCTAGTTTTTTTTTCTACATTTAGCCTTACTTCAGGGAAACAAGGCTAAATGTAGAACGGGGAAGCTGGCGCTCATTTAGTACAAGTGATCACAGTGATGTTTAAATGTCTAAATATGTGTTTCCCTATTTTGCCTAAGGCAGTGATACTAAATGTTTTTTAAACCCCAGTGCCCAAACTAAAACACAATACCAAACTTGTTTTAAATGTTGGCACTTTGAGATAAATTAATTGATTTTGCATCGCAGTTTGGGCACTCTGGCTCAAAAACGTCAGCCATCACTGGCATAGTGTAACCAGCATATATAGTACAGTGCATGCAGGGGGCCAAAGAGATAAAGAGGATATAGTATACAACAGTTTTTCTGAAGTTTAATAAAATAAACCTACTTTTATGAAAGCCATCGTTTTCAGAGTACTCTAACATTAAGCACTCCTTGAGTACATTTACTTAAAAATTTGGGCCCCTCTAACTGCACAAAAATCTATTTATAAGCAATGCTTAGTAAAATACTGATATCTGCTTTTTATTGTTCATTATTGACTAAAACTGTACATTTGTATGATGAACTTGTGTAATACACATAAGTTCCCTCTGACCCATCACAAGTAACCCCTTATGTATGTGTGGAGTGTATAATGTATAGTACAGTGAATAAAGTGGGCCATTGTGGTGTGTGTATAATAATTCATGCATACTAAATGTTGAGGTTTTCTTAAACCTTAAATGTACAATGAATATTAATCACACAGCAAATGATTCATGTATTGAGAAGTGGTTGAAAAGATGTTAATGAACAATGCAAGGAATAGTATATGGAGTTAAAGAAGACTTGAACTGTGGAAGCTGTGCCCACATAAGGCAAGCAACGGGCAAAGCACTACTCGCCAATTTTGAACCGTAAGCTGCATGCACCTGATCTTTTTCCACGTTACTGAATTACCAGCCCTTGTTCTGCACTGTGTGGAGGAAACCATCTTGTTGGAGGCAGAGCTTTGCTTCCTTATGTCAGAGCTATACCCCAAGGACTGGTTATTTATTGACTGGTAAATTGTTTCAGGAGAGATGCAGCAGGAGAGATAGAGGAAGCACAGATCCACAGAGAGAGGAGAACTGTGAGCGGCACAATACCAACAGTACTTCACCAAATCTTACTCAAGATGTTCCCTATAACGTTAAAGCTAAAATATTTATATGCAAGATTTCCTTATTAAAAATGAAAATTTTTGATCCTGAACATAACACATATCTACAAAATCACTATACGTTCCCTTTAATTTATTGTGACTTATACACAGCAACTGTGGTTTGCAAATGTAAGGTTAAAGTGGTAATGTGCAGTGACTGTGGATAAACAGGAAATTTGCATTGACTGGAGTTTGCACAGAAAAGGGTTAATGTACATTTAATGGAAGGAGTGCAGTAAAGGGTTAATGTACAGTGGTATTGCAGCTATGGGAATGGTGTGTGAGGTATATGAGATGTATTTCTGCCTTCACCCACCCTTGATGCAGAAGTAGTGGAATTGTTTGGGCAGTGGAGTCCAAGTTGGTACCGTATTATTGTTGCTGTGCTAAAGTAGGAGCAAAGTTGGTGGTGTTGGAGGAAGGGGGTCACACGGAAGAGTAAAGCTGCTCATATTTATGAAGTGGCATTCATGAAATCAGGCTCTTTTTCTTCCAAAATAGGCAAATGTCTCATGTTCACAAGCTGTCCCAGAAATTTCCAGCCAACAGAACTGATGTGATATAGAGATCATTCCTCTAGGAAGAACTGCTATTGTCTCCTTCTTAAAAAGCCAGTTCCAGAAGTGCGTGACAGCACCTCAATCTCATCTCTATAGCATGAACATTGTATGTTCAGTCATTCAGAGCCAAGCTTTCATGTTCCTAGAGCTGCAGAGAGACCAGCCTGAGGGCAGTGGTATTACTACACATCTTATCCTTTTTGTACCCATCATCCCTTCATTTGTTAGATACGTTTTTGCTAGTTACAAGTAGATTGAGAGATTGCAGGTTTTAAAACAAACTGCTGTTGTGAAGACATATTATGCCACGTCACACTCAAGAAAAAAATGTTTTTAACAGATGACTTGCAGAGCCACTGTAGACTTAGCAATACCAAGAAAAAGAGTAAAATTAAACCCAAACTTCTTTACCAGTTAAGTTCTGCCCCCTAAATCCAGCTTTGACCCCTTTCTCACACATTATTCAACAATTCCGGCACACGTATGACCATTTGGTACATTTATAACCCATCGGGTTTCTATGGCCTTTGTGAAAATAAAAAGTCTGATAGTGTCATAAACTGGCAAGGTGAGCTGGAGCTTTATTACTTTTCTTCACCCTTTTCCTATCTCCTTCCTCCTTCTTTCTTCCTACTTTTAATCTTTCAATTTCTGTCACACTGTAGGCTTGTACCAAATTAGCTTATCAAGTTCTCTAGATCTCTGACCTCTACCACCTCCCTTCTCTATTTAAATGACCATTTAAACATCTTCTCTTTCTCTTCCATTGAAGATGAGGAATTTTGATGATACATTCGAGAGTCGTCATCTTTTTAGACCTGCTGTTGACACTGTCATTAGCAATGTCACAGGTGGCCAGAGTGTGCTTCTGTCTCAGCATAAGAGGTTCTGCTTCGGCAGTAGTTACTGCAAGGGTTAACTGCTTGTTAATATCTGGGTATCATAGGGTATCTGGAAAAGCAGTTTTACCTAACTGATCCCGCCCACTCCCCCGGGGGGTGGGGGGGGGGGGGGGGGGGCTGCATTGTACGTGATTAAGTCGGTGGGCCTCCAACCACCAGAGTGTAGGGGAAACACACTGTGTGGGAGTAAGTGAGCACTCAGGAGTCACTATATTGCCTGTGAGCACATATTTTGATGCATCTATAGGGCCCGTGCAAAGAATTGTATTAATCTGCAGAAATTGTATGTTTACTAAACTGCCACATATTTTGTTATACATAGGAGCAGACCATGTGGGCTTGTCTAGCAGCTATGGCTATTGCAAACAAGGAGATGTCAACAGCTGAAGTTGCATATGCAGCAATTGGCAAAGTAAGGAAGTATACATAATTACTCCTTAAATACCAGCATTATCTGATCTATGTTAGTGTTCTGCAATCGCTTTTATTTTTCTTGCAGATTGACAAAGTTCAGTACATAAATTCAATTAACGATCTACCATCAAAAGAGTCCAGATTGGCTCACATCCAGCTCTTCAGTGGGAATTTTCAAGATGCTGAAGCCATTATCCTGCAAGCTGGCCTGATTTACCAAGCCATACAGCTCAACATTGACTCCTACAACTGGGAGAGGTAATATACATAGAGGGAATACATGCGTAGCACACTTGGGAATGTCACTGGGTATAACTACTACTAGGATATATTTAAAAAACATTTTTTAGTGCATTAGTATCACCGTGTGTGTGTATGTATGTGTATATATATATATATA